ATGCTTACACCTTTTCACTATCACACTTAACTTTACTTACTAAGTAGTGTTTGCCACAATATGAATGGCAAAGTACAGGGCGTAAAATAATAACTGTGGCAAAGGTTTTTCGAAAAATAAGAGTCCTTTAAAGATTTTGCGAAAAAAAGTATTTTTTGCTAACTTTATAAATAGTTTACTTTTATTAATTAGTTTTAAAACTTTAATCCTTATTTCCATTTGCCAGCTTTGGAGATAAGTACATGCTTTTTTCAGGTGTATTTTTTCTTAGATTTTGTAAAAAATAAAAATAAAACTGTATAGGTATAGGATTGGTCGAATGAATGGCCTCCTAGTCACCAGTTCCGAGTCTTTTCGATTGCTGAGTATGAGGCCTTATGTTGGACAAAAGCCGGAGTATAAAGGAGCCAAATGGAGGAAATTAGCCTATGGTTACAGAAGATATCGTCACTACACACGAATAAAGGCGCGCTAATGTTTTTACGGCGAAAAAAGGCGCGTAAAAAAATTTTGCGAAAAAAGATGCTTATGAAAATCTTCGGCGAAGTATGTTAAGAGTCTTTGACGCTGAAGTTTTTTATGCGTCTTTTTTCGCCGTCATTTTTTGAGCTCGCGCCTTTATTCGTGTCTAGTGACGATATGTAATAAAGTAACCGACGAAGACTTGCATGCCCCTTGAGCTTTTCTCTCAAAGTGTTTACCGCTGGTAAACGCAAATAAAGGTTAAAATTTAAAAACTTATTAATAAAATTTAAGTAAAATCTGTGGATAATTTACAATAAACTACTTTTTTCGCAAACTCTATAAAATTCCCTTTTATTTTTCAATAAAACCTGTGCAACAGTTATTATTTTACACCCTGTATATGATAAAATATTAATAGCTGGAAAAAGGAGTACAAAAGAAGCACAAAACTAAGAAAGGAGTACATTTCCAGATATTTTTGTTGGGAGTACAAGGGAGTACATTACAATAAAAAGGAGTACGTTTACTCCCAAAAGCAGTACGTCTGGCAACCCTATGCAAGGCAAACTGTTAATCACAGTGGTCGGTCAATAATAATTTGGGGCTGTATTTCAAAAATGTTTTTGGTCCGTTAGTACGCATTATGCGTAAGGAACAGTATCTGTTCATATTTCAACAAAATTTGCAAGATGTAGTCGAAAAATGAGTTTCTGCTGAAAAATCTCCCAAAATACACTGCACATGTTCGCAAAGACTGGATGGAAAAGCAAAAATTTGCTAATTTGAAAAGACCTCCACAATCCGCGGATATGAATCTCGTCGAAAATTTGCGATATCAACTAAAAGCGCAGCTTTCCANAATTTGAAATGACCTCCACAATCCGCGGATATGAATCTCGTCGAAAATTTTCCATATCAACTAAAATCGCAGCTTACTCAGTATCCAAGTCCGCCAATGGATACATGAGCTGTGAAAGCAAACCAAGGATCTATCTCCAGAATTTTTACAGAGATACACTTAAGGTATTCCAAATTGCATCCAGGAAAAAACAAATGTATACTGAACATTGTGTTAACAATTCGTTTTTTTCGTCAAATTGTCAAAAAGTTATTAAAAATATATAAGTGCAAAACTCTAACATATGCCTTAATTTACATTTTGTCTGCTGGATTTAGTTTGTTGTTGGATTGACTTTAATGCGTTATGAGAGAGGAAGTACAGGTGTACCAATAAGAATATACAACAAAAATATGAATGTCTNCAAATTGTCAAAAAGTTATTAAAAATATATAAGTGCAAAACTCTAACATATGCCTTAATTTACATTTTGTCTGCTGGATTTAGTTTGTTGTTGGATTGACTTTAATGCGTTATGAGAGAGGAAGTACAGGTGTACCAATAAGAATATACAACAAAAATATGAATGTCTTTAGAACTTGGAAAGATAGCGGCGGCTGATATAAAAAGCGTTACACCATGTTACAGTTTTGCTCGTCACTGTACCTATGTAAGAGTACACTTTTAAGATGTCTGCATATGAATTATGCGTGGCTTTTATTGTATCTCTGTATTTCCATAACTCCCTGTGTGAGGAAACCAAATAATGTAATTCTTAACAGAAGTGCTTAAAACTTAACAGTATGGCAATTTAAACACTGTTGAAGTTGATTTCCTTACTAGCGCCTGCAACTATACTTCTTATTTACTACCGCCGGCAGCTGGCAACAATTTTATACCGGTTTTACGTTCTTTGGCAAATTCACTCTGTTAGCCATACATTTTACTATGTTTTGACCGCCTTTGTATCAAGACTCCTGAACCATATAGGGAATTCATTTATATTTTAAATTGCATTGTCATCGTGATTGGAAGTACGCTGAAATTTTCAAGTCTCTACCTTGTCGGGAAGTTAGTTTAAAATCGATTCGAAATTTCTGCGGGATGACCAAGTTAAATAAAAGCTTGTAAAAATTAGAACAGTTTTTGACACTTTCGATACCAGAAGCAACTACAATATACACGAAAATGTTGTTTTTGCTCTAATGCTACTACCTTTTTGACATGCCTTGCTGCAAACCGATTTAAAAAATTTTGATAGAAGAAAATTTATTTCATTTCTGGAGCGCATTTTAATATGTTTCTTTTCTTGAGAGCTGCATACTGTGCTATATTAAATCAATCAGAAAGATCGAGTTGTAAACAATACCGTAGCTTTTGTCATAATCATTAAAACTATATAAAAATTGTTTCTTAAGTAGATTAGCTTACTGGTTTTGATGTATCAAAATATCTTGATATATTACATTATTAAAAAAATTTGTGTTAAGATTCAGAATTCGAGTGTCGAGATAAGACAGTCTTAAATAAATTAACATTTTGCTTACAAATGTAAATGGACGGAATGTTCGTAGTCTTTTTTTAATTAGACATAATATGGCTTTGTATGTACAATGTACATTGTACATATTATGTATGTACGTATGTACAGTACAGTGATTAGAAACAGTACTCATACATATGTTTATATTTTCAAGTTTAACAGCAAAAAAACAATTTTGATGACTTCAAACTGTCACTTTATTATACTGAAATCAAAAAAGGGCATACTTAAAAAAGGTCTAAAAATTGTTAATGTGTAAAAAATTTAAATTTTGATAATTTTTAACTTTTGTTGAATTTTTTCGAATTTTACGCATTGTTTGAAACTTTCATGTATGTATGTATATGATTTAGGTTATTGAATGAACTATATTTTTAACCGACTTCAAAAAAGAAAGTTATCAATTCGTTGGATTTTTTTTTTATGTATTTTACCGCTTAACTTTAGACCGCGTTAACCGATCTCTATAATTCTTTGTTTTAAGGAAAGGTGGTACCTCAGAAGGCATCCCATATTAACTTGGTTTAGATTCGATCATTAGACCAGGGTTGTTGCGAATATTATTCCGAAATAAAAATCCTTCCCGGGTAATAAACAAACCGCCTGTCCAAATTAAAGAAATTTGTTATCATATGAAAGAGGGTTGAAATAGCTTTTAAACAGAAATAACGAACAGCCTCTATTTATATTTTTTTATAATGTAATACTAATTTTTTATTATTTTTTTATAATGTAATACTAATACCTGATTAAAGGTGTGCTCCATGGTAATTAGTTAACAATTTTTATTGAAATATTTTTCAATATGTGGCTTTCCTCGTTTAGACATTTCAGTTTGGTAGCTATTTAAATCCTCTCTCATTTGATACCAAACTTGTTTAATTTGGATAAGCAGTTTGTTTATTATCCGGAAAGGACTTTTATTTCGGAATAATATTCGCAACAACCCTGCATTGGACCATGAAGAAATAAACGGTTCCCTTAAATTTTTATATGAAAAAAAAAAATATTCCGACGAACTAATAACCTCCTCCTTTTTTGGAAGTCGGTTAAAAATTGAAGGTTTTTTTCCCCAAAAATTACTCATAAAAAATAAACAAACAAATCTGATTAACTTGAAAATATAAATATCCGAGTACTTGTTGTAACAGCATACAAACCCTCTCCATAGTTTTTGGGGAGTAATGCTCTAGTGACAGTCCTTGGGCAGATATAAATTTGGGTCGTTTCGGTTACGTATACCCGACTGTCGTGGGAACGAATATTTGTGTACTGATTCCAATCATTTGCCGGCACTGTATGGCTGAGTTCCAAGTGCATCAATGCAAAGTATCAGCCTCTTTTATATCTAATCAACAACTGATGGAGATGTCCAATAAGCGCAACTACGTTTAAGGACCAGTTTAAACTTAGATTACAAAACTGTGTTTATATTGAAAAGCTGGCTGGTATTTGTTTGGCTAATCTTAGTTTAAACGAACCATATCGAGCATTTAAACTAAGTTTAAACCACAACCGTGCCCGGAAAACTGGCCCTTAATGCCGAATTGGAACTCAGTTGAGCAAATAGGGCATTTCCATCCATTATAGTTTAGAAATAAATGAGGCTGAAGCTTTGCATTGTTGCAACTTGGACTCAGCCTTAATTTCATATACAATTCTCCTCTTCGTTAAAAAAAAAAAAAACATTCGTGGATCTTTAAAATTACACATGATTTAAGGCCAAATCTTTGTGCGAACTTAAATAGTTAATGTCAAATGCGGCTGACACTTGAACTGGAAACCAGCGCCGAACCTGGGTCTGGATTGTACTGTTACTCAAAACGGCTCCAAGAGAACAATATTAGGATTTTGCATTTCCAAAAATATTTGGTACTGCGAGAATACGCACAACCAGCAGTAAACCTGTAGTGGGACTATTATTTAAAGTTTCTTTTAATTAGTATCTTGGGTATATATTTACATTGTATGCCGTCCAACAGAAGTTCAATAGAGCGGAGAACGTTTGTTCGAGCTAAAGACAGTATAATAATGATATGTGTATAATATTAAGAACTTATAAATATATGTATTAAAAGTTTAAAATACTTACGTAAATATAGTAGCCACCAATGAGCCACAGCCCCCATACAAATTGAAATAAAATTCCAATACCTGCTAAAATGAGCCAAGGTAAGAGCCAACCTCTGGTGCTAAAGATCCAAATAAAACACAAATCATATATAGCACACCACTAGAATTTCTAGGACTTCTACCTTATCCTTATACCATAATACACCATGTACGATGCGGCAATTAATAGTAGAAAGTAGAATATAAATATACTGCCATAAACAGGCATTGAATATCTTATATCGCTTTCAAAAAGTGGAGAATAAAGTTGAGCTGATTCTCCTCCGGTCAGCATGTAAGAAATCTGGGAAATTTTCGAATTAAAACAAGTTCTTTTTGTGTAAAATTATTTGTCTTTGCTTACCAATGTGATTAGTACCACCGATAAAGCCGCGGTGTATACTGCAACAGCATAACTTCCAGTCTTTACAGAGTTGGACCAAATGATTGGCGACCAGCACGACTCCAAAACAACCATTTTCCCTATTTAAATTTTAAACAACTAATTTAAAAGCATTAGACAATTGCTGTATCAACCTAGGTGTGGCACTTGTAACAACCTGATATTGAAACATATGTATGTGAAGAGGAAATTGCAATTGGTTTGAAGAAAAAAAATTAACATTTGTAATCTTACTTAACCTTTTATTTTCAATCCGCTTACTAACTAAAAGCGAAATTACTTAACCTTTTATTTTCAATCCGCTTACTAACTAAAAGCGAAATTACTTATACTCCGAAGTTCTGGTATTAAAAACGTAAACAAATTAATAAACTGAACAGCTTAGGGAGCAACTCAAAATGAAATGAGTTGGAATGGAAAATGGAACAAAATAGGAGTCACGGTTGCCACATAAAATAAATTGTACCACAATTTAAACAAGAATGCAGTGTTGCCATTTTGCTACTTTTGGAGCTAGATTTAGCTCTTTATTTTTCTATTTACAGTGACGAGCAAATCTGTAACATGGTGCAATGCTTTTTATATCATTCGCCGCAATCTTTCCAAGTTCTGACGACATTCATACTTTTGTTGTATATTCTTATTGGTACACCTGTACTTCCTCTCTCATAACGAATTGAAGTCAATCCAACAACAATAATAAAACATATAAATTAAGGCAAATGTTAGAGTTTTGCACTTATATATTTTGGGTACTGTTTATGAATTTGTACAACGATTTTGGGTTGCTGTACTCAAACGCGTGAATCGAATCAAAAAACTTTTACACACACTTGTAGACAACAGTTCACGCTTTACTACAAAAATTTAATTACTAATTTAACAATAATGTCGGTTACAAATATGGTATTTGTTGCAAATTTTTATTATAAATTTGTATATACATTTTTATTTACAAGATATTTTTATAAAATACTCAGTAACCAAAATAGACATCACTGGGGCGGCAGCNGTTCCTTTTCTTCGCACGCAGAAAGGAGAATTCTATGTAGTGAGGGTTATAATCCCTAAGCGCGGCCGAAGGCCGCCTACGCAGAAAGGTGTTCTCTGCAAAAGGTGTTCAGCCCCCCTTCTTCGGACGCACGTTTAACTTTGTTTTTTCCTTGCAAAAAATCTAAAATTCCCCTATTTTCAAACAGCTCCCCAGAGGTCTGTGGGAGGGGTTGGGGGGGGGGGTGACTTTTCAATCCTCTTTCCTTTAGGGGGGATTTGTGGGGCCCACACCCCCTCCCCCTCCCCCCCCACCCCTAAATCGTTGTACAAATAGCTAAACATTTCCC